CACAGAGCCCGACGCGGGGCTCAAACTCACAGACCTCGAGATCATGACCCGAACCAAAGTCGGACACTCAACTGACTGAGCCACCCAGGCGCCCCTAGGATGAATGTTTTCTGTTCAGCTTTTCTCTTCTGTTGATAAACCTCTTTGAAAGGGAGAAGAAAGCAATCCTTTTCTGGATTTCTTGGGCTTCAGCCCAAAAGTCTGGTAATCTCTTTTGTTTGATTTTGTGAGTTTTGCTGTTCTCCTGGCTCTGCTGATAAAGCAGGAGGAAATGGGCTGAAAATGCAACCCAAAGGGTTCAGGGAAAGGCATAATTTCCTGAGGTTCTGGAATGGTCAGTGAAAAGATTTGGGTTCTCAAAGACCTTTGCAAATGGGAGGCAGCCCGCATTTGTGGAATGTTTGGTGTGTACTATATCTAAAAGGCAGGAGCATAGACATGGGACTCTCATAATTCCTACCCACCCCCCCCATTCTGTTAATAGTCCCTGAATAGCCCCTGACTTGTTCTGTGACTCAGTTTCCCCATCTGTATGAGGAAGATGCTTGTTCCTCAGGTGGTGAGGGTTGTGCAACAAGTCTGTGCAGGTTGTAAGGCGTGGTGACAGTTCTGAGTATTCTGGGTCATTGTCCTCACCATGACAGAATCTGTCACATCCTTCCTTGTGGGTTCTCCCCACGAGTCGTGTCTGGGGCCCCTGAGTCCTGGCTTTTACTAGTCCCACGAAAGCCAATCTGGAGCTCTTAAGAAGAAGGCAGCCATCTCCCCCTTTCAAGCAACCCACTTTCCTCCAGCGGGCTGCTAATTCTTTGCTGGAGTGGCAAACACTGATACCAAACCCTTTTGCTTCCTGGCCCCTTTTAGAGTCAGCTTTCTGACAAAGTCCTCTCTGACCCTGGGCATTTACTCATTCGTAGGTGACTTATTGTTATTTTTCTCTCTTCCCCAGCCTCCTAGCTCTAGATACCACTAGAGCCCAAGGGGCCACCTGCTCTGCTTTTAGCTTGGGCAGAACTATTGACCTGGCTCAACGGGGAAAAAAGCCTGAGCAGGAGTGGGGGTAGGGCAGAGATCACCCAGTTGCTTTCTATTGTCACCGAATGCCCCTCAAGCTGCTGAGGCTACCGGTCCGTCCCCTACTGTAGGCCAGGGAGACTGTCCTGAGTCAGTGCTTCCTATTTGGGAAGTGGGATCCTTTGCTGGAGCCCTGGAACAGTTCCTGTGAGAGAAGTCAGACTTCAGATATGTTGCAGGGGTGGAGCGGGGGTGGGGGGGGTGGGGGGAGGGTGCGGTGAGAGATGCATCGCTGTAGATCATCCTGAAGTATCAGGAACTCTCCAGCTCAGAGATGGATTTGTTCTCTATTTTACCTCCAGGAGAGGAGGCTTTTACGTTCGTATCAATTTCCAGAACTCTCTCATGCTAGAACGGTTTTTTTCCATTTAGAGAATTAATGGACTGGGTCTATTTATCTTAATCAAGGGAGGCAGTGGTATGCTGGCTGTGGGGAATATTTGGTCCTATCCTCTTGCTTGCAGTCCTGAAGTCCTGGAAACTCCTGAATGCAGCATGGGGCCTTGCAGGGGTTTGGGGCGGTAGCGGACCAAGTTGAGATGTGAAAGGTCAGGAGTCAGTGTTACGGGGATATAAGATCCCTGTCCTGGGGCTGGTGAAGTTCCAGTGCCCACAGTCTGATGCTCTTAGGCATTCTTCACTGTCCCGAAGTTGTAAATAAACCCGTTGCACAATCCGCAGCCCAGAATTCACAGCCCTTAGCCCAGAAAGCAGCTGGGCCTTGGAGGTGTTTGCTCACGACCTTTTCTCTCGCCACACCCTGGGGCTCTTGGGAGGAGCTGAGGTCTGAGCTGCAGTGCCAGGATGCTGCCTCTGTTGGTGCGGGCCTTCTGCTGCCTTCCTGGGTCCCGTCACATCCTTCTTGCTCAGCCATTGGGTGCTCAGCATGGAAACTGCCGTCCCCTGTTTGGAAGGCAGCACATGGCTTGGCTTCACGGAGTTGTGGTTGGAGACTGAAGCGGCCCCTCTCTCAGACTCTCTGTAGCCGGTCTGTAGGAGGAAAGGGAAGCACTCCAATGCCCTGCAGGTTCGAGAAGATGGAAGGACAAGTGGTAGGCACGATGCTCAGGCTGTTCCGCAACCGGCTGCCCCGACTCCGAGCAGGTCTGGACTGGATTACCCACTTCCTGTTTTCTAGGGTGACCCTCTTGGATGGGGCTGTTTCTTCCTTGAAATGCTTCTTCCTTTTCTTACATGTGGAATCTTTATAGTTTGACCTCCATCTGGTCCCCCGTGTGACTAGACCAGAATACTTCCCCTACTGGATTTTAGAGCTGGTCATGCCCCCCCATGGGGGGGTTTGTGTGGTCACAGGCACGTGGCCCTGGGACCTGTTCTGCTTTGGATACATGTCCGCTCAGGGCTTACTCTTTCAGGTACTGCCCTGGGCACCTGTGGGTGGGCACAGTCTCTGCCTCTGGGGCATAGGGCCTCCCAAGCGGCTCCCCAGTCCCTTTCTTTGGCGTCCAAATCAGTGGCTTCTGTCCCCCTCTTGGCTCCCTGGGTTTTCAAATCTCCCAGGGCAGTCACGGAAACTGCCCAGTTGGTTCTGACCCTGTTGCAGGCCCTGAGGAGCGGGGAAGGCTCCGGGGACCTTAGCGTTGGCCTGGCGGCCCCGAGGTGCACAACTTGCCGGGAGCCACACAGGCTCCACCTGGGGCATGGGCTGCGGAGATACCAAGTGGGGTCTGGTGTCTTGGTTTCAGGAAGTCGCCAGGACAACCTGAGGGAAGCTGCAAAGGAACCAGAAAGGGCCGCGGAGCACTGTCTGTCCACCTTTGCTGGAGGGCAGCACTTCTTTGAATACCTCTTCGTGGTTTCCCTCAAAAAAAAGAGTTCAGGGCATGACTATGAGCCCACCATCACCTACCAGTTTCCCAAGGTAAGGACTGAAGGAGGGGGCAGGGGGAGCCCGGGTTTGGGTGTTTGAGGGGGGGGCGGTGCCAGGGCTCAGGTCTAGAGCCGCCTTGCGCTCCTCCTCTCCTGTTTCCTTCAGGCCCAGCCCTGTTTCCTGTTATCACCCACAGAATCTAGGTCTGGCTTCTTTGTGAGGACCTGACCTGGGCTCCCTGGCCGGGAGACCAGGCTGGTTTTTCTGCCCCTTTTGGGGCCTCCTAGTTCTTCCAAATTCCATCCTTAGTCATCCTTCTCTGTAGAGAAGCTTACCTTCTGCCAGACCTCCTTGCGGGCATCCCCTCCCTGGGGTGGGTGGGAAGGAGAGGGTGGGGCGGGCACACAGCTGGTGGGCAGGCTCAGCCTGTGGCCACAGCCCAAACACCAGGCTCCTTCATGTCTGCTCCCGCACTGCGGTCAGGGGCGGGCGTAGGGCATCCTCATTGACCCTGCCGGCCCGGCAGCTGAGCTGGCCACCTGTCCTCTCTAATGTGGTGGCTTTCTCACGTGGCCCCTCCAGGAGGCCAGGCAGCCTCTGGGCCTTTCTATACTAAGTGAGGCCCTGGCCCCCTTCCTGCCTATGTGGGTCCTTAGGATACTGATGTCTAACTCAGGCTCGTGTAGACTCAGCCGTGGGGCCGGTCGGACCCTGAATGAAATCCCTGTGCAGAGTGACAGGCAGAGGCACGTTGAGCCCCCATGCCAGCAGGGAAGCTTATTCTCAAACTGCTTTAGAGCCTCAAGAGCAGCCCGCCAGCCCTCAAGCCCTCTCCTCCTGCCCCTGCCCCCACAATTCACTGGGCTCTTCCCCTGTTTCCTATAGCGAGAGAACCTGCTCCGGGGCCAGCAGGAGGAGGAGGAACGGCTGCTCAGTGCCATCCCCTTGTTCTGCTTCCCAGATGGGAATGAGTGGGCACCACTCACTGAGTACCCCAGGTAATTGCCCGGGCCTGGGACAGAGGAACCTGGGACTGGGGGAGAAGGGACAAGTGTGAGCCATGTGGGTCCTGTGGCTCCCTCACTTGGTGTGGATGCCAGTTCTCACCAGCTTCTCTCCTGATGGGGAGGGGCTGTAGTCAATCCATTTATAAACATCTCTCCTGGAGTCCCCCAAGGCCAGGGATCTTAGCCAACTCGGTCAACCGGCCTGTCACCTCTGTCCAGAGAAGGGCGAGGTTCTCTCACCTGTCCTGGGAATGACAGTCGCCATGTTTTGGCTGCTTCTGGAAGAAGCTGGACTCAGCAGAAGGCCTTTGGCTTCAATGAAGGCAATGTGGCAGAGTCCCTTTCAGCTTCAGCCCTGGTTTTTGGCTGCCCGAGTTCGCATTTTGGCTTTACCACTTTTGAGTCGAATGACCTTGGATAAGATCCACCTTTGCGGCCTCAGTTCCTTTGTCTTTCAAGTGGGGATCGTAATTGAACCTACCTCAAAGGGTTGTTTCGACAATTAAACGAGGTGGTGCGTTTAGAGCTGGGAGCCAATAAGCACGTAATAAATTACTGGTGTTATTATTACTCTCAGGATTAATCAGCAGCTCCCCTCTGCCCCCCTGACCCTGCTCAGCATCTCTCTGAGGCTGCCGCCTTCCTGTTTTAGGGTCTAGTGGGCAAATGCAAACTATGTGTGTGCTCTTCTTCAGGGAGACCTTTTCCTTCGTTCTGACCAACGTGGATGGGAGCAGGAAGATTGGATACTGCAGGCGCCTCTTGGTCTGTGCTGCTCAGAACTGCCCCCTCCTCTCTGCAGCCCGCTCGGCTCCACAGCTGGGCTTGCTCAAGCTTCAGCTGCAAAAGCCAAGGCTCCTTGGCAGTGGTGGTTGCGGGGAGCGCACGGCCCAGCACCTGCTGCCATGTTAGTGCCCTCTGCAACCCTGCAGGAACGGGGACACTTGCCCCTCCTTGCCCACCCAGGGGACCTTTGCTGGCCATGCTTTGGTCTCTTCTCTCCCCAAGCTTCTGACATCTCCCTGTGTGGGAGGCTCCTGACTAATCCCCTCTCCACCTTCTGTACCCAGGCCTGGCCGCCTTGGCCCCCAGAGCCTCCCAGAGCATAGACTGGGGCTGGACGATGATTCTTGGGTCTCAAGAGGATTCTCCAAGTCACTTTTACAGTGCTGTCCTCCCTCGCCATTCCCTCATCTCTACAGCACACTTGCTCCCTTTCTCTGCGGGCCCCACATGGTGCTGGTGCTGACGGTGGCAGGGCTTGGCCCCCTCAAGGCCGTCTTCTTTTGACCGTGGTGGCTGTTCTGGCCTCCCTGCTGCCTGCGCCACGAACAGAAGCTCTGCACAGCCAGGGGCTTCTCCGTCTGGCCCGCCTTTCCCCATGAGTCCCCTAGTCCCAGCCACCAGCCGTGTGCCCCGTCAGCCCCAGTTGGGAGAAGCCCTGGGGAGGCTGCGGCACTGAAGGAGCCTGTCTGTCCCTCCCCAGCCCGCCGGCCGTGGCCCTCGCCTTCCCAAGGTTTACTGCATCATCAGCTGCATCGGCTGCTTCGGCCTGTTCTCCAAGGTAGAGGTGGAGCGGGATTCCTTGGGGCCTGTTTGGCCTGTTCAGCCTCCAGGTCGGCCTGGCCGCCTGACCTGTCTGTGCTCCCTGGGCCCTCAGTGGACTTCTTTTCTCACAGCCGGGGTCGATCCTAGGCACACTTGGGGAAATTGAGGCAGAGAGGAGCTTGGGCTCGAGAAAACTGGGACTTTCTCCCCCGCAGAGAGCCCACGCTCCCCCTCTGGTCAGGTAAGAAAGCAGCTGGAGCAGGACAGCAGGGAAAGCCCCAGGTTAGGGGGCGGGAGTTTCCCGTTTCCTCATCTGTCAAGGGCGTGCAGTGATGGCTCACCTCCCTGGCTTAGGGCCTGGCACGAGGCTCGAATGAAGCGACATGAGAAACGCAGAACATTGAACAAGTGTGAAGACGGCTGCTCTACAGGGGGGCCCCGAGACTCCCCGTGAGCCCTCTGAGGGGGGAGGTCCCTAGGACTTCTGGAGCTAACTGCAGGGCCTGTGCACCCGAGTCAGGCCTCAGAATGGACAGGCATGTCTTGGTGGCCACGAAAGAGCTTCAATGTGCTCTGCCCCCAGCAGGATCTTCAGAGGGTGAGGGCAGGACGCTGTGAGCCTTTGCTTGGTGGAGTGTTCATCTGGGCTGGGTTCTCGGGGATGCAGTCTGGCCCTGGCCCTGGCGAGTCTCCGGTGGAAGTCGGAGGGCAGAGTAACACCCAAGAGGCCCAGGGTTCTAGGCTCCCACTGCACCCAGCATCCCAGCGTGACGAGACATGGTACCACTGTGTGCGGTGGTTGGCTCTGGGATGACTGCCGGTGGGGGGAAGGCGGTCACGTGGTGCCAGGAAAAGGGAGGAACGGACTGGTAGGGAGAGGGTGAAAGGAAGAAGGCTACGGGCCTCCTGCAGGAGAGAAACAGCAGACCCGGCTCTGCCGGGACCCTAGAAGGTCCACGGGGATTGGCTGGATCAGTGCAGGGCGGGAAGACGCACGCACCGGGGTCTCTGCCACTTCCCGGTGGCATCCCTCTGAGCCGTTTCCTTGCAGATCCTGGATGAGGTGGAGAAGAGGCACCAGATCTCCGTGGCCGTCATTTACCCGTTCATGCAGGGCCTCCGAGAGGCGGCCTTCCCTGCCCCCGGGAAGACTGTCACCCTCAAGAGCTTCATCCCCGACTCGGGCACTGAGGTGGGTTACGGAGTGCGTGAGCCCCAGCTTCGGTGGTACCGCTGTCACAGTCATGCCATTCCCCCCCCGGTTAACACACCCCCCGGTTAACACACCCAGACTGAGCCAGGCCGGGACTGGGGCCTGACTAGAAGGATTGACAGAGCTGAAAATCAAACCCACGTTTTCTGACCCTCCCAACCTGATGCTCCCAGGGACCTACTTACTGTTCGGGCCACCAAGACTTGTATTTATAATAAATAAAACATGCAAGCTAAGGTTCCTGGTGCTAGAATGGACTGTGCCCCCAGCCCCAAACGGCCATTTCTCCCCATTACCACCCTTATCTTCCCATGTGTGTGTCCAGTATCACTCCCTCATGGCCTCCCATCTGTCTACTTGTTACCATCCCTCCCCACCCCTGTGTCCCCACCCATGCCACACAGGGATGCTGTCACTGCAGGCACAAGGCTGTCTCTTCCAGTTCTGCCCCCTGGGACTGTGGAAGGTCGGCCTGCCTCTCTGAACCTTGGCTTCCCTATGTAAAAATGAGGGGAGGAGCTAGGCCTTTTCACAGTCTCCATAGAATGCTTGCCCTACACCAGGCCATGCAATTTTCTGGATACAACTTGGTGAATACAATGAATAGGATTCCTGACCTCCTGGAGCTTAAAATCTAGTGGAGGAGACAGACGCTAAATAAGGAAAGACACAAATAAGTATGTAATTTAAAGTGACGAAAGGGGAGAAACCAGATGCTCCATGAGAAAATGATGGAAACACACGTCCGATTAGGCGGGCCTCTGAGCCGGAGGGAGGAGGAGACAAGCAGAAGGGTGACCTGACCTGTGAGGACCCTCAGGCAGGAAGAGCAGAGTGGAAAGGGGGACGGGGTCGGCATGACCCTCAGAGCTAAGGGAAACCACCGAAGTGCTTCCAGCAGGGGAGAGGCGGGATCAGATGTAGCCAGGAGAGTGGAGGGGAGGCAGGTGGAGACCCAGCGTTCCAGGATCTGCGAGTTTTCAATGTGGTGACACCTCTCTCCTTGGTTCCCCTGCAGTTCATCTCCCTGACACGGCCCCTGGACTCCCACCTAGAACACGTGGATTTTAGATCTCTGTTGCGCTGTCTCCGTTTTGAGCAGATCCTTCAGATATTTGCCTCTGCAGTGCTGGAGAGAAGAATCATCTTCCTGGCAGAAGATCTCAGGTGGGTCCAGCCGCTGGGCCGCATCCCCGGGCCGTCTGGCTCCCCTGGGTTGAGGGGACGGACCGGAGGGTTCTCTAAGGGAATCAGGCTGTAGGACCTTGACGCCCACCCTCCTGCCTCCAGGTCTGATTTTGCACTAAGCCTCCTAGAGAAACAGCTGTTGCAATTCCCCTGCTTCTGCCTCCAAACTTGATTGCTGCCTAAGGGTGAAGAAAGATCCAGATTTGGCTCCAGGCAGAGACCAGTCAGGGTGGGTGCAGATGTGATTCTGCTCCTGATGGCTTAGGGAGGGGAAGAAGGCATATATAGGTTTGGAGGTCAAGAGCCCATCATCC